TGAATCGAGCTCCATGTATAAATATAATACAATAAATAAGACAAGTTACTAGCCATTTTAAAATTAGCACAAAAAATTGCCTTCTGCCGAAAGTTATTGGGAAGTCAGCTAAAACAAAGTATGGAATGCAATCTATAAAAGAACAGTTTTGATATTCGATTAAGAGCTTCTAAATTAATAAATGAGTTCATTAGACCTATGTGGACCAGGCACTTCAAAATAAATATGCATACCGGTTGCTTTGCCAACATCTCGAGAGCAAGTTCCCTTGGAAGATTGGGTTGGTACCATGCAGCCTTAGCCAGTTGTTGTGCCTCTTTGTTCTCATCCATCAGCGCATCACCGTCTAAGCGGCAAGTGGATCGCCTTCCGCCAGCCCCATCCCTACCACTACTACCGCCATCACTAGCGCAATCGCCAAAACCATCCAGATGAGAAGTACTGGAGCCTGTCGGCTTCCAGGCAACGGAGGCAGGCAAAGATACATCAGGAGAGCGAGGGCCACGCCTAGGTGGTGGTGGAATGGGACCAGAATTATTAATAGAAGGGGCGCAAGCAAGACTGGCTTGACTTGTAGCTACTGCTTGCCGGGGTGAAGAATCTATCAGACTGTTCTGTAAAGAACTGTCATCGAAGGCAGTGGAACCCGTTGATCCATTAGTGCCAGAAGAGCAGAGGCCGGCCGTGGAAGATGAGGAACCAGTAAGTAAGCTAACTACAGGGTTGATAGAGGAACCAGCCGAAAGATGCCGAGGTGTTGCAGGGGTTACCAGGTTTCCGAAACATCGACTTGAATGTTGAGCAATGTCATAAGAGTTCTGAGAACAGGGCCTGTTTAAACAAAATTGATAAAAACGAAAATGTAGTGTATATATATATATGACAGGAAAGTAGCCAATAGGCAATAAGCATCTGCAGGATAAGATACACAATCCGATAAAGAATTTAAATGTAATGGGTAATATTCAAATATACCCGGATGTGAATCTGGTGCAATTGGGAATTTGTGCTTGTAGATCTATAAAAATTACTTGGATGAAAGAGAGTGCAGATATGAAAGTTTGTTTCTAAGGCAGGAAGTAGCTACAATAGATAGAGGATTCTATAAATACCTTTCAAGATTTTCAACCTGCTCTTTACTCGCGAGTCTTCGCTCGTCCTCCTCTTGCTGAATAAGTGACCGC